TGTGCGGTTGAGGAAAAATTCAACGTTGTCTGTTGATATATCGATATCATCTTCCATTGCAATTTCCTGTATATCTAAATATGTTTAGATCTTCACAGTGAAGGGTAACACTTCCGAAATCTCTGTGTAAACAATGAGTGACGTACACGCGCGAGAGATCACTTCCAGGGCTTTCCGGTGCTTGCGCAGACCGAAGCGCCCGCGCCCTCAGATCACTTGGAGGTGGCTGTGGTTACAAGAGGTAAAAACGATATAAATACTGTTCGTTTTCTCACACAAACCGCTCGTTTCGTGTCTTAGGTCATCAATGTGTACTTACATTTACGAGTCATTAAATCATGTTTAATTTGGACTTCTCTGTGCATGCTCCTTGAGGTGGTGACCATAGACCTCCATTACATGACTGACAGACAAGAACGGTTTGATCTAAAAATATTAAAATTGAAAATACTGTGGAAACAAAGGCACCTCTCGGATGCCCTTGAGGTAAGCTAAAACATACCAAAAATGTATTTAAAAGTGAACTATCCCTTTAACAGGCATTGTTCACCCAAAAATAAAAATTCTGTCAATTTTCATTGACAGATGATGAATGATTTCATTGTCATTTACTCGCCCTCGTGTTGTTCCAAACCTTAGAACCGAGTTTATTTTTTTCTGTTGATAACAAAAGAAGAGATCTCAAAGAATGCTGGTAACCAGAAAGTTGAAGGTAAATCTTTTGTGTTCAACAGAAGAAAGAAACTCATACAGGTTTGGAACAACTTGAGAATGAGTAAGTGATGACAAAATTTTGACAACATTTTTGGGTAAACAATCCCTTTAATATGGGAAAGAACTGCAAATTACCTTATTGCAGTAAAAATAATGAAATAAGAAATATAATACTATTCATTTCAAATATATAGAAACAATATATTTAGGTTTATAGCAATATATGCATTAAAAATATTGTAAGTGTTGATTCAAGATTTGCTTGTATGAAACGATTCTCTGATTGGTAGAGATGTCTCTGCAGAATCATGGGTAATGTAGTATTTCACCAGGGATTCCTCTGTTAAAAATAAAGTAAGTTTTCAACTTCTGTAATGCATTAAAAATGTCCATGCGCTTACATGCAAACACAACTAATAACTAAAGGTTGTGTGATGAAGTCGTAGTATGTCCAATACTAGCATTCTGACTTACCACAGAAGTATATACCATCACCGATGACGTATTTTATTTTTTTTTTTTTTCTCATAGTTGAAACATGTAGTTTGAAATTTAGCCCTTATATAACATTAACACATTTTACTGTTAATCTGATATATTCCTAGAATTGGACAATCAAAGTGAGCTTTAATGGAGATGGTTTGGAGGTCAAGGGATTGAAAAGCCACATGACAAAAATATCACAGTATCACGTCACAGAAAAAGTAAAGCAAGTGATTGCTATGATATACAAAGACAAAAGTCTAAGGAACATATATTAAGTTAATAGGATCAATTCTGATTTCATATTGGTTTTCCAAGTGGGTTTATTTTCCCACCACCAATGCCAATTAGATTTAGTAATTCCAGTTTGGCACACATAGATTCCACGTTTCTCTCGATTTTTCGTCTGAAACAGTGTTCCCCTCTTTAAAATAACTGCTGTGTAAAACACAGATGTGCTGTTTGCATTCAACTGATGGAGTTTCATAATCAACTAACCAATGGAATAATGACGCTCACTCACAAACAAAAGCTTTTTTTAGCACGCAATGAGACGTGACTGGACTATAAAGACGAGAGCTGAGCTGAACCTTGGTTAAATGTATGGTGCATGTTGAATCCTGGATTGGTTGGGGGTCTTCAACACATGTGTCCCATTAAGAATCCCCTCAAAGAGCTTTAATGGGTTCCAGATTCATACGTCCTGGCTGGGCTAACTATGGCCCTTGTGTCTCTTCTGGTCTGAGCATGCTCAGTGCGCACTGACGGCGGATTGAACCTCAGAGTCCTTGGGCTCCAGTCGCCCATTCTGTGTCCCGTGTGCGACGTGAATATTCCAACAAAAACAGATCTGATGATCGTAAAGCTGAGGGAAATATTTCCAGCTAAATCCACATATTCTCTCTCTGGCCCGTTCATATCTCCTGTGTGTTTCAAAGGTCGTTGAGCACTGATATAATCTAAATCAGACTAACGGGCTTCATTCATTAAAATGAATCTCGCTTCTTTGGGTTTGCTCTGCTTTATATGCTGTCCGAGGGTCTCAGATCTGTGTGGACAGTCTTATGCTGCCTCAGATCTAAATGTTACAACCTTTTCAGCGTTATAGATTATTGTACGAGAGATCATATAAGCCTCCGTGTTTTGCTCTACCTCCTGTTGTGTTTGGCTCTTTCTGCAAGATTTATGTGTTTGTTTTTTTGGAGTGCATTGACTGAATGTATATTGGGCGTGTCTTTGCTGAACTTTGAAGATCTCTGACGCTTTTGATGCATCACTCACTCAAATGAGTGTTTCAATTACTCTAAAGAGGGTCTTTGTTAATAAAATAGACATTTGGCACATTTAGATATTTTACTCCCAAATGCACTGTTACATTATTTATGCTGAGAATGAAGTGCTGTTCTCACAAATCATGCTTTTTTTCCCCTTTGTTCATGAATACAGAGGAACAAACACAACTGGGCTGGTGGCCATGACTTAGTAGTTAGCGCTTAGCCATTAGCTAATGATACAAATTTCCACTGAATGATTTCAGATGTTCTGTTAAGGATAAATCAGTAATTTACTTTTAAAAAATCTGTCATTATTTACTCGCCCTCATGTCATTCCAAAACCCAGACTTTATTTCTTATGTTGATCAACATTTATGAAAGATGTACTGATATTCCATGCAATTACAATTAAAGGGTTACTTTCAAGTTTCAGAAAGGATGGAAATGAACCATGAACATAGTCCAGATGATTGTAATCCAAGTGTTCTGAAGTCAATAGCTTTGTGTGAGGAACAAACTGACATTTCAGTCACTAATTTACTGGTAATCTTTTTTTCCAGAGAACTGTTATCTGCTATATCTGAAAAAATGAGCGAGTTCAAGACAAGTAATAGAGTGAGTGAACTCAAGAATCAGATACCTGAATGAATCACTCAGACTGGTTTGTGAACCTGATCAAATGATTCATTTAAAAAGTATGAGTAAATGTTGGCAGATTGTTTTTATTTGTGAACTATTGGTGAACTATTACTTTAATGCAAATGAATTTATACCTTAATTTATCATTGTAAATTTGATCAGTACTTGCTACACTGTGTAACTCTTTTAGTTTAATCTTAGCTAAAAACACTTAGTTCTTTCAAAAATATATGTGCTGATTAATGTAGCTATATTTACTTTGTTCAAGTAATAAAGTATTCTCGTGAGTGTATAATATGCCATTGAAAATACATACGGGTAAGGGGTCCTAATGTCGGTCGCCATGTTGCCCCTCCATCTTGAAAGTACATTAGCCAAAGAGGGACATACCCGTTAATTCAAGCTTCGCCTTTCGCGTTTACGTTTGAGTTAACACTCATGGACGAGGTCGAACTGGAAGCCATGTTAATCTTGGACTACATTGGCCACCGTAGGAGTTAAAACGAAATCGGAATTGAGAAGAACAGAAACTAATATTCAGTGGATGGTCATATACCTTTTCACAGCTAGATGGGGGTAAAAATCACACAGTGTAGCTTTAAAGGGATACTTCACTTTTTTTGGAAATAAGCTAATTTTACAACTCCCCCAGAGTTAAATCGTTTTTATCATTTTCGAAAACCCATTCAGCCGAATTTCTGATATTTAGAAGAATATCAGTAACCAGACAGTTTCTGGTCCCATCGACTTCCATAGTATATGGGAAAACCCAACTGTTTAACTCTGGGGGAGTTGTAAAATGAATGCCGGTTCACACCGGGACGAATTTCACATGCGTTATTCGCCGACGTTTAAGGCCTTGTTACTAAACAATGGGCGCCAATGTGAGTGGGCACACCGACGCGGAAAACGCTTGTGTAAAAGTGTCATTTAAAAAAAAAAAAACGGTTAATTTTTTTCGTTTGACGTACCGCGTCAAAAACTATCCGACCAATGAGATTGGCGCTTTTGCTCATGTGTTTGGAGCTTCTGAAGTTACAGTAAAACACAACTTGGGGGCGCTGAAAAACACGAAACTGTCTTGCTGAGCACACTTACATAACGGTGAAGAAGATCTACGCCAAGTAGCATATGTAGATGAATGTAGAGCTGCTGTTCTCGTTGGTGCTAGAACCTAAAGAACTATGTGACAAACGCGTCTGCGACTACAAACATCTTGATAAAAGAGAACTGTTATGGAGTTGTATTGCAGAGCAAATGGCCGCCGTCTAATGTCAGGGAATGAATTTGCATGTTCACTCTGCTCATCGTCAGTGAAAATGGCACTAAAAACATGTTGAGTCATAAATGAGTCATAAATTGACTCCCGACCCTCTACCAAGACGTTTGACCATAGTTCCTGTGAGAATGTTCCATTTCTGGATCCTTCCCAAAATTCCATGTAGGGGTTTCCCAATGAGTCTGGTCATATGTAACCGTTTCTCTGTTGATTTGGCCCCTGAAAACCTCTTAACAGGGGAATTCCTTGATATACAGCCCAGGAGTGATGCATGTATAATTTAATAAAAGAGTGAAACCAATAGAGAAAAAAATCGAATTTGCAGTCCAAGGCAGGTGGCCACATTATCATACAGCCAAACTGTACTATGCTCTGGGAATCCTGCAGTAAAGCCGTTATATAAACATTCTCATGGGGCCGAAGCTGGAACCCTTCAGAACAGTCTCTTTTCTACACAACAGCTGACAAGACAGCTGGAAAAGTTTTCAATTCAAACTTCCATCTGCTGTGTATCGCTTCCACATTCACACATTAACGGTGCACGTCATCATTAAAATATATTTCTAATAAAAATAACAAAAATAAAACACTTTCTCCTACTGTGTTTGCAGCTTCCTATTTTGGGGACAGCTACTGTCGAATAGATGCCATTCAAGACCTGTCAAGTTTTCAAGTGTCGCTCCAATTTAAAACAGGCAGACGTAGCGGCTTACTCCTACTGGCGGCGGGACACAGAGATTACCTCTCTTTGGAGCTCCACAATGGCAGATTACAGGTGAGATACATTTTGGGTTCAAATCCTTCAAGGGTCAATTTAGAAACTTTTCGGTCAGAAAACCCTACTCATGCCCACATATCACCTCATTCAGATGAATTCTAGTAGCTTTATTGCTGTAATTCAATGAATTAGCTCTTTATGTGTTAAATTGCTGGATAAAAATTGTAAATTACTACTTAAGCACTAAAGACAGAGATCAGATTTGGCTATATCAGAAAGCACAGGGTGCAGTTCTTCAAACTGCAGATTATATCCCAGACTGACTACACAAATAAATACAAACTCCAATACTTTATCATGGCCCTTCAAGACTTCAGGCCCCCAGAATGAGCCACACACTGAGAAAATCTCTTGTGAATTTTTGAGAAGCTGCCGTTTGGTTTGTGGTGAAGAGGGATGACTCACATTCGCTTCCAGCTTCGCTGTGACAGGATCGTCACAGTTTTTCAGCTCAACACATGGAAAAACCTTCCACAGCTAGAATGAGTTACTGGTTTGCTCTGAGATATTTATTCTTCATCTGTCGCCTCCCTAGAAAATGGCTCCCGCTCCGCACAGATAAACACAGACGCTCAAACTGCCTTCATTATGCTGCAATATGAAACGGTACCAAGACTATTTCATCGGTGGCAGGATTTATCATTAAAAACGCATTTCTACTGACATATTCAATTCACTGAGATTTACTTTTTTCATCTTTGGAAGCTGCAGATCTGAAATGAGATTTCCGTTTAAGTAGCTACACAATGTTTAGACTCATCCTGAAGTCTGTATCAGATTTCACAATTGGATGCATGTATAATACACTGCGAAAAATCATATTCTTAGTCAGTACCTTTGTCTTGTTTTGTAGTAAAAATGTCTAAAGATAAATGTAGCCTACATCAGAATTTTTTTAAAAATAAATATTGAGACAAGATTTACTGGTGGTGCAAATTAGTGTTGTTTTTGGCAGCCTTTAATTTTAGTTTTAGTCTAGTCTTTGTGTCAAGCTGACATTTTAGTTTTTATTAGTTTTAGTCACGTTCATACTCTTTTTAGTCTTCTAGTTTTAGTCGATGAAAACTGATGACATTTTAGTCTAGTTTTAGTCGACGAAAACCGATGACATTTTAGTCTAGTTTTAGTCGACGAAAGACATAGTCTTGTTCTAGTCAATGAAAATTTTATTTTAGTCTCTTTTTAGTAGGCAATTCTATTTAACCCAGTCAATATAGGCTAGACTATAGACGAAACCAATTTTTTCTTTTAGTCAAACCCATTTCAAACAATTTTATCTTCTTATTATCTTCTTACATTATTGTTACCATACATCCATTCCAGACACGGAAGACGCTCTGAATTGAATTTACAACATATTTACCAACCAAACATGTTAGAAGTAGCCTACACAAATGATGAAATGAAAGTTTTTTCAAACGTCATTTCTTCTTTTTCTCCCAAAGACGAATCCCTTTCTCTGTGTCAGACTTATATTTGTTTGTTGTTGTTTATGCTAACGCCTGTTTTACACACTCCGTTTGCAGTGCCTATTTTACCCGCACATGTTACAGTAATAGATTAGTGCTTATACTGCGCGCTCTAGGAGCGGTGCGTGCATAACAGCAGAGATATCTACACAGTAGGCTACCTCAACATTGTGTCAATGGATGTAGGCTAAAATACTGATTTGAAATAAAAACTAGAGAATAAATATTGTGATTGTGGTACAGCCGTAGATCCGTTGCGTAAGAATATCAGTAACCAGACAGTTTCTGGTCCCATAGACTTCCATATAAGTCAATGGGACCAGAAGCTGTCTGGTTACTCATATTCTTCTAAATATAAGAAAATCGGCAAAATGGTAAAACTCAACTGTTTAACTCTGAGGGAGTTGTAAAATGAGCCTATTTCCCAAAAAAGTGGAGTATCCCTTTAAAGCGTGCAATTGCTCTGGCAAATTTGTGATACAGATAGGGTTGGGAATCGTGAGAAATTTTCCGGTTCCGGTTCCGATTCCGGTTCCGCCAAACGATTCCGGTTCCGGTTCCCGTTCAATTAAAAATATTAGTAAGAGAAAAATCCACAATCCTTTTTGTGTTTATTTCTTATAGTACTTGACAAATTAGTTTAACAGACTGGTAATGTAAACAAACTCAAAATATTATTAAGCAATCTTTGCAAAAAAAAATTGTATATATATATATATATATATATATATATATAAAGGAAATAAAAAAATTCTGCATTCTCTATAATAATTTAGACCTCTCCTTTATTGTATCTCCAACAGTGAAGAATACCCTCTCAGAAGGAGTAGAATATGCTTTAACACACATATGTGTGTAGAACAGATTATTTTTTTAAACGGTTTGAATGATTGATTAATTAAGACTTTACTTATTTCATTACTGGATAAATCGGCGCTCTAGCAGTTAATAAACAGAACTGCATGCGTCTTGCGGAAGAACATTGTTGCCGGAGCTACTTCTCTCTGTTTATGTCCATGACGAGTCACGCAGGCATTGGGCTACTCCGCAGCAGCTGCGATCCGCCGGCCAGTCTAAAGAAGTCCGAGTATTAACGCTTATTACAGGCTTTACGTAGTGATTCAAGATAAGACAAAAACACGGTTTGAAAAAAAAAAACATTATGATGCACTCGCTCATTGTATATATTTTGTAAATTCTGAACACAAAAAATATACGGACTGCATCTGTTTTGACCACTACCGTCAATGTTTACTCAAACTATAATCTCACTAATTCTGTAACGGAAATCATTTGAATATGTGAAACAAATAAATATTGAGACTGTGATTGTAAAGCAGTTTCATATCGACAACTGCTCTCTCTCTCTCAGCGCAAACAGATTTGAATGTAGGCTAGAGAGTGACTCGGCGGTCGGCGCGCGCAGTGTGCCTGTGTCTGTGTGTGACAAATGCAGCGCGTGTGAGAGCAAATCGCAACTTCAGTGGTGAAGTTTTTGTCATTTAGGAATAAGACGGCGTCTTCTACTCCCAGCACTTCGCCCACATGATGATATCGCATCGGCATCAGAACCGTTTTCGGAACCGAAACTTAGGAATTTTGCACGGTTCCGGTATTTTTTCAAAAACACAACCGGTTCTGGAAAAGAACCGGTTCTCGGTTCCCAACCCTAGATACAGATGAATGTTATTTTAAATGATACCCCAAGAAACAAACCAGAACATCTTACAATTGCTTAGCAATGCACTACACACCACTATGAACAGCTCAAAAACTGCACAACAATGGAGTACTAAACACTCACAATACCCTAACATAATGGCAGCTACTTTTTCACAGGCAAGTACCCACATGCCAGTGAAAAGGGCATTAACTTCTGATTTTCAACAGCTACTTTTGCTGTCTAATAATTCGTTTCTGTGTATCTCCTTACAGGCTAGGATTGACATGGGATCTGGAGAAAAGGTTCTGGCCTCCGCTATGGGTCTCCAGCTAAGTAACCTTCTGGACCATCATGTGTCTCTCATTCTAAAAGACTCCAAACTCACTATGGCTGTGGACAACTTGTACACAACCCTCATCCCAATTGAGGATGCAGATGAGGACCTGAACATCGACCAAGGTGTGTTTCTTGGAGGTATGAGAGACCTGGAAGTGGAGTACCTGAGCACAGCTGTGCCCTTCCTGCGAGGCTGCATGAGCAATGTTATATTTGAATCTCATGACTTTGATATTCTGGCTTCAGCGAATACTGTATGCTATGACACCAAGGAGACCTGCAGCAGCGAATTTGAGGCAGGGGATGGAGAAACCACCAGCTTCATCAGCCCGGACTCGTTCATCTCTTTCCCTACTTGGACCAGACCTAGCTCAGGCTCCCGTAGCCTGGAGATGCTTATGAAGACGACCATTGAAGATGCTCTGTTGCTCTTCCACCCAGGACACCACACAGACTTCATTGCAATTGGAATGGCAGGAGGGTACTTGAAAGGCATAATCAACTTGGGAATTGAGATCTATGTGTTGGACAATGGGGAAGTGAAAGTAGATGATGATCAATGGCACAGAGTAACAGTTCAGATTAGCCCCAATGTGTTTCAGATAAATGTGGACAATGAACTGGTTTCATTCCCTCTTAATGGGTCAGAAAAGCTGGATCTGGTGGGGAACCTGTACCTGGGAGGCATTCAAAGGAAGATGAAGGATGTGTTTCAAGATGCCTATTTGACTCGTGTGGAGGAGGACCTCACAACTGAGTCCTTTATCGGATGTTTAGGAGAAATCAAGGTGAATCAGAAAGGCAGAAGCTTGCAGGATGCTCTGATAACTAAAGACATTCATATGAAATGTGAAGGGGAATACGATTACTCCACTTATGATGAGGAGTTGGAGTCAACAACTTCACCTCCAGTAAGAGTAACATACATCAATGACAATACTTATGTAAGACATTGTTTCCCTACAGATGACTTACCAGAAATGTTCCACAATATTTCCAAGCTCCTGGACATCACTCCTCTGCTAGTTCCTGAGGGGGGAGAGGCCTTTGTCGACATTGTAAACCTTAACCCAACGTTTAACCTAAACAGTGCAGGCGTTCGCCAATCTCAGATCATCTTTACTCTGCTACAAAATCCTTGGTATGGACAGATTGAAATGAACTCAAGACACTCAAAGAAGTTTACCCTTCTGGATGTTGTTAACAAGAAAATCAAGTATCTCCACGATGGCAATGAAAAGTATGGAGATCAAATCCAGCTGGAGGTCATTGCGCATGGAACGAATCTCCCTGAGTGCTTGAGTGTTGCACGCCAATACCTGCTACCGGTGGAGATCCTCCCTGTCAATGACATCCCTCAGCTCAGTGCAGGTGACATCTCAATCACAGCTAATGGGCGCACACGTTTAAGCCCAAACCTCATCAAAATCTCAGACTCAGATAATCGTTGTGATGGCCTCAAAGTCACAGTCACTTCAGACTCTACTTCTGCTGGATATCTGGAGAATGCTCAACAGCCAGGGTTTGGTCTAAGAGAGTTCACCTGTAGACAACTGAAAGAAGGAAATATCTACTTTGTTCACATGGGAGGAGAAGTGACTGGACTTACCCTGCAGGTTTCAGATGGAGATTTGGTTAGCCAGTCAAGCACATTTAAGTTGCTCATCACCCAGCCACAGATTACTCTGGTCACAAATACTGGCCTTGCGATCAATCAGGATAGCAGTGCCTCTATTGGAATAGAAAATCTGGCCTTTTCAGCAACTCCAAAAACTGGAGATGTTGTTTATAATATCACTCAGCCACTTGAATTTGGACAACTGCAGCTGATCTCAGACAATGGGTTACCAAAAAGAGTCACACTATTTCATCAGTCTGATCTGGAGCAGAACCGACTGAAATACATTCCCAACCTCACAGCCGATCACAACAACATAGAGACCGAGTTTATTCACTTCAGTGCACAGCTTGGACAGGTCATCCTCCCAGAAAACACATTTGTCATCCAGATCATGCCTGCCATGGTAGGAATAGCTAAAATGGTTCCTCTGGAAGTTGAAAATGGGCAGCAAAAGGTCATTAAACCTGAGCAATTACAAGCCTTTGTGAGGATGGGCCAAACTGATTCAAGAGCAGTCCAGTATGTGCTTCTGAAATGCCCAGCACAGGGAGTCTTGATGATGCTTGATAAAGAGTTGTCTGAGGGCAATACCTTTACCCAACAAGATATTTTAGATGGTTTCATCAGTTACAGCCCTCGTGTCCGCAGAGAAGCTGACTTTGAAGATCAGTTCCAGTTCAAAGTAATTGCAAAGGATCAGTACTCCAGCGAATACACCTTTCCCATCAAAATCAAGGCTGATTCTAATGCTCCTGTCCTAACCAACGAGAGACTTGTTGTGCTGCAAGGAAATGAAAACATCATAAGTAAAGAAAACCTCTGGGTTCGAACCTCCACTTCAACAGACTTTGTTTTCAGAATAACACAAGATCCCAAACATGGTCGCCTTTTCAGAGACTCTCCACCGGGTATGCAAAGATTCGAGGGTGCAATTCGGGTCTTTAGCAATGAGGATCTTTCTTTGAACAGGCTAATTTACAAACATGACGGAACAGAAACAAGCCATGACCAGTTTACCTTTCTGGTATTTGATTCAAGAGGTGGCAATGGTGGGCAAGATGAGGGTCATGAGGCTCTGAGGGGAGTTTTTAACATTGCAATACAGTCCAGGAATGACCATGTGCCTCAAAGGATAATCAACAAACCTTTCAATGTTGTCAGAAATGGCCAGCGTTTATTGACCACTGATGACATTCTGTACAGAGACGATGACTCTGACTTTAATGACACCCAACTAGTTTATGCGAGAGCGGGAATTCTTTCAGGAAACATTGTCTCCTCACTAGATGTGACACAACCTCTCTACCGCTTTACCCAGGCTGACCTGAGGGACAGGAAGGTTTTGTTTGTCCACCATGGGGCAGATCGTGAGCGATTCCAACTTCAAGTATCTGATGGTTTTCACAAGAACACAGCTGTACTTCAGGTGCAAGCAAGTGACCCTTATTTGCGTCTTGCCAACAATACCATGATGGTCATGGACCACGGTAGCACGCAGACACTAAACACCAGTCTATTAAGTGCAGAGACCAACATGGACATCAGAAGTGCAGCTGAGATCATCTATGAAGTGACTTCTGCTCCCAGTGATGGTAGGATTATAGTCAGTGGAATTGAATCTTCCACATTTACACAAGAGGACCTGACTAAGGGTGTGGTTTCCTACGAACACAACGACCAGAGCCTTAGCTCAAAAGATTCCTTTGCCTTCTCTGTGGAAGCTAAGGATTTGTTCACAGAGGGCACTTTCAGGATTAAGATATTCAAGAAAGGTCACTCATCAGAGGCACCGATTGTCTCGAACAAGGGGATCATTGCGTATGAAGGGGAACATTCTGTTATTTACCAAACCCATCTAAAGGTAAGGCTCCCATTCTTAAATTTTTGTTCTTACCCTGTTGACAAGATTTTTTCAAATAAGAGGTTTACAAAGTTTAAGCCTTCAAGTCAAACTGTTCTTAAAGGGATAGTTAATTTTGAAATAAATTTTTGGTATGTTTTAGCTTACCTCAAGGGCATCCAAAATGTACTGTAGGTGTCTGTAAGTTTATGGGGTCTACCCTGGGTTCACCTCAAAGAGCATGCACAGAGAAGTCCAAATTAAACATGATTTAATGACTTGTAAATGTAAGTACACATTGATGGCCTAAGACACGAAACGAGCGGTTTGTGTGAGAAAACGAACAGTATTTATACCGTTTTTACCTCTTGTTACCACAGTCACGTCCAAGTACTCTGAGGGCAAGGGTAGTACTCACCTCACAAGTACTCGCGCGTGTACGTCACTCATTGTTTATACAGAGATTTCGGAAGTGATATCCCTTCACTGTGAAGATCTAAATATATTTAGATATACAGGAAATTGCAATGGAAGACGATTTCGATATATCGATATTCGATATACCGCGCAAGAGATCACTTCCGGCGCTTTCCGGTGCTTTTGCACAACGAAGCGCCCTCCCCCTCAGATCACTTGGACGTGGCTGTGGTTACAAGAGGTAAAAATATAAATACTGTTCGTTTTCTCACACAAACCGCTTGTTTCGTGTCTTAGGCCATCAATGTGTACTTACATTTACGAGTCATTCAATCATGTTTAATTTGGACTTCTCTGTGCATGCTCTTTGAGGTGGTGACCATAGACCTGCATTAAATGACAGACAAGAACGGTTTGACCTAAAAATATCAAAATTTTAAATACTTTGTAAACAAAGACACCTACATCTTGGATGCCCTTGAGGTAAGCTAAAACATACCAAAAATGTATTTAAAAGTGAACTATCCCTTTAAACTTTGCCCTCTCTATTGCCATCTGTGGTTGTGGCTGAAACATGAATTGCTAGTTTCTGCTCAATGTCTAAATCATTATTGTAGGCTTACCATAGTGAATTATTTTGTGTGTGTGTGTGTGTGTTGTTGTTGTTTTTTTTACTTTATACTCAAATTTTCCTTGTTTTTCAAAGTTTCAAAGTTTTAACTTGTGTTTCAGAAATGAGAGCTTGTCCAGTCATAAGTTGTTATCCAAAGGGAAAAAAGACAGAGCTTTCAATGGCCAAAATTAAAGAGAAAATAACTGTATGTCGTTTACATGAACACATTAGAAGATAAACATGTTCATTTCACTTGTAAAATACATGACAAACACCTCGCATATTGAATAAATATTAAGATCATTTCACAAAGACTTCCAACAGCGCTTAATGATAATTTGTGTTCAACAGCTGCTGTATTACACTTGTGGAAGGTTCCAGAACCGTAAGGGCACTTCTCCCAAGATCCCTGAATGCTAGACTCATAAATCTATAAAGGAGCTGCTTTGCATTTATTTGCAAAATTTGTGTTTTAGAAACAGGGGAAAAAAGGCTGAGCCTCTGCAGTAGATATGCCACAGTATATTGTTGACGCTCCGCTGAGTGTACTTTCAGTAATTACCCAAGTGTTTCCAATGGAGGAAACAGTCTCCACTCAGTTTCATTAGGATATTTGCGACTGCCTGACATTGATTTATATCTTGGCTACTTTTTCTCTAAGTATTTCTGGGATTTATCACATAAATATCACTTAAATAGAGGGATTGGCATAAATCTCATTTGTGATATCAGCTCAAGGTTTCTCCAATTTACCATTCAGAGCCATTTATATAAACAGAGTTAATATTGCCCCTAAGATTTAAGCTGACCTAAAAGGGATAGCTCAGCCAAAAATGTAAAATCATCCTTATGTTGTTTCCATTTCCATTTCTTGTTCAATATAATTCATGTTCAAATATGGGATCATGTTTCATGATCTAACATGTATCATATTTAAATGTATGCAAATGTAATTGGATTTTGAATGACATGACGATGAGTAAATGAGGCTTACTCATTAGTGAAGGACTGTACAATATGTTGTGAATTAAATATTATGATTTATTTTTATTAAAAGATACCTGGGACCTGACTGTCTATAGGGATATGCAGTATTTGAAAGCAGTTCTGCACTCGTTTGAAGGTCTTCTTTTTATCTTCTTAGGTGGAGCAGGCAGATATCCTGCCTAAAGAGATGGTGTACTCCATCAAAGACTTCCCCCGGTTGGGTCATGTGGTCAAACTCAACAATGACTCGGACAGCACGGCGTCACCCATGCTTGACTATATTCAGTCCTTCACGCAGGAGGAAATAAACCTGGGCACAATCCTTTACGTCTCCGCCTCCCTGCTGGGCCGGGACCACTTCACAGTGGACGTCAGTAATGGCTTCGCCACCATAGAAGATCTAGAGGTGCAGGTGGACGTTGTCCCACGCATCATACCCATCCAGGTGGTCAACCTCACCGTGAGGGAGGGTGGATCCGTGGCGCTGACCCAGGACATTCTGAATATCACACACCCCTTCTACAGGTCCATTAACATTGAGTTTTTTATGGAGGAAACACCTCAGCATGGAGATATCAAGTATCTGGATGAAGAAGACGCACTTGACACCTTCGCCTGGGAAGACGTGAGTGCCAACACATACATTTTATTTATATAGTATTTATTAATTTATACATTTATTTACTCTCACAAATTATACATTTTAATCAAATGTATTATTTATTTAAACCAATTAAATGTATTTATTTTAGTTACTCTTTAATCTTTTTATTTATTTATTTTACATTTTTGCACTGCTTTTCTTGTTTGCATTTATTTAAATTAGGTTTTATTTTTTTATTATTAGTTATTTTAAACATTTAGTTATTTGTTTTAATCAATTGTTTTATGAATATATTTATTTATTTTTGTTTAAATCAAATTGTATATAATTTATTTTAATCGAATATATTAATTTATTATTTATTTCATCAAGTTTTATGTTTTTACTTGTTTATTTGAATACTGTTTTATTTCTTCATTTTAATCAGTTTATTTTAATCTAATATATCAATTTATTTTATAACATTTTATTTGATTATTTAATTTTTTATTGTAATAATTATTTTAGTTTGATTTAATCATATATATATATATATATATATATATATATATATATATATATATACACTGTAAAAATATATTGTTGGTTTAACATAAAAAATTAAGAAACCTGGTTGCCTTAAAATTTTCAGTTCATTGAACTGGAAAAATTGAGTTAATACAATGAAGGAGATTAATTTAAGCATTAGAAACTCAAAATATTATGCTATCTGAACTACATAAATTATTTAAGTTGATTTGGCAAAAGAAAAAATTTTGTGATTACAAATCATAAAAATATTTTTTACAGTGTATTTACTGCATATATACTGTGTATGTGTATATATATATATATATATATATATATATATTATTATTATTTAAATTTAAATTTAAATTTAAATTTAAATTTAAATTTAAATATATATATATATATATATATATACACACACACAGACACCCACACTCCCTTGTGGCCCTGGTTTAAAAAGCCAATATATAGCTTTAATTTCGTTTTATTTCAGTTTTAGTAATAAGTAATTTTATTACTTCAACACAGACACAAACTGAAAAATCCAGTCATAATTGACTAATTCTGACTTTCTATCTACCATGAAACACAAAATGAGATGTTTTGCATAATGTTTACACTGCTTTTTACCATACAATGAAAGCATATTGTGACCAGGCGATCTGAATATCCAAAAAGGACATCGAATCTCCATAACAGCAAACCACATGAACTCATAATACTATATTCAACTATACTGATGCGAAGATAGAAAATGTGCATAATATCTGCAGTGGAGAGAGAATCAATAAATTACTGAAATTTCCTCACATAAAGCTACATCGTGTGACTTCAGAAGACTTGAAATGTTGTGTGAGCGTTGTAAAGACCCCTTTTATGGAGCTTCTGTGGACCTTGACAGCCCCTGGTCACAATTGTTTGCTCGAGCAGCTTGGAAATGGCTTTGAGTTTCACAGGAGAATGAAAGTCACGACATGAGGGTGAGCAGATGACAGAAGTTTCACCTCTTCTTGTTTGTAGAGGAAACAATGGGAACAACTAATGATGCTATAATTACAGGCTTATTTGTTTTGTTTGTTTGGACTTTGTGCCTGCAATGAGAGTTAATTCTTCTCACGATAAAAGAGTAGCACTGGAACCAGAGGAGCTGTCATTGGCTTTAATTAAAAGAGGCGAACAGCGTTGTGTAATGGTTTCTCGGAGACTACCAGGATCCCCGTGTAGCATTTTGCCGTATCGTTGAGGAACAGTCATGCGTAAAATAGCAATTCTGCATCTTAATTACAAGCTGTTCACAGAATAACAGCTATAGTGGCGGACCTTGATCACGCCTGTCTGATGCTCGCAGTGTTTTACAGGCTCAAAGAAACTACTTCTCTTTCTAAGCCCTTTTTGTTTCCAGTGGGCCTCCTAAACCGCTGTGCGCTATGATATCTTGCGGAGTGGCCCAGAGGTTTTCTAGTGGAAAGAATGAGCAGGCGGTCGAATGAGTGTGCTGTTGTTTGAGAGAACGGTTAGACATTGCTCTTTCGACTGCCATTCCAACTTGATGGAAACTCTGACTTGCGCTTCCCTGCTGCCGCCGGCCAGAATAAACTAGCCCATATATCCCACAAATAAAGCACTTACACCGAGAACATTGAGAACAGAGATCAGGTCAACTCAGAAGCAATTCGGCCAGAACAGATGAACTTACTGGATCATTTTTAACTTCAAGCACATTCGGTGACACTATATTTGTACTATATATGTTGAAATAACTTTTAGTGTTGCGTGTGAGAGATTGACATAAGTCTTGTTTTCTGAAAATATTATCAAAAATAAGTGATAAGAAGAACAAATATGAGGCAATGAGGTATGAAAAATAATGTTTTCTCTTTGAATTAAAGGAGCTGTATGCAAGATTGTGGCCAAAACCGGTACTGCAATCACTTTCAAATTAGGGTGTAAGTAAATATGTGTCGAACTGCAGTATCAGTTTGAGGCATAATCAGACCGAGAAAGCCGCGATGAAAGAGTCAAACAGAACCTCATCACATACTACGGCTCTTACTAAACGTTTCTGAATGATAATTTGCTACATTTTTTAACTTTATACACGTTTGTTTTACACAATAGCATCTGACTGGCAACGATAGCAACTGACTGGCTACTAATGTTAAACACAAACAGTGTTGGCAAGTTTACGTTCTTGATCAAATCGAAAATAACGCCATAAAACATATATACATGAAAAATACATTAACAACATTAGTACTTATACAAAATTCAGGTCCATAATGTTTGTACGCATTTGTCGTAGACACAAAATAGCATAACTAGTAGCCTAGTGGCTATAAAGCCAGCGCTGGCCTTTTTTAAAAAACTAAAACACAAGGCTACGTCTGGAATTATACATGCAAATACATTTAAAATGATGAAGTCTTCGCCTACTTACAGGTTGTGGCCCAACACTGCTGCCTCAGGTTTTAAAGTTTGATCTGCTTCATGTTTTAGTAACAGTTTCTTGTTGAATCCGGTGTTGAACTCGTGGAGATTCTGGAAGCTGTCTCTCGTAAATGCGCAGCACAGAGAGCTAAATTACGATCGTCACTTTCAGGAACATAATCAAACATAAATTGTATCCATTGTTGACGAAGTACAGCGTCCGTGGGAAGCTCGAACACAGAAGACCTGACAGCTGGGTGAACAACACACTCGACGAGCCGCAGAAATATGGCCATGCCCCTTTTTTGCATATTCCGGAGGGAGGGTTGATGCAAATATGTGGGTTAGTGACGTCTAAAACCCAGCTGTAGTCCCAATCCAGTCGTTTTTGTAGGCAATTATACTTCCTGATTTTTAAAAGACGATATCTCTGCTTACACTGAACTTTTAGCGCTGCAACTTTGCAGATACTGTTCATGCACCAACAGCAGCATTACACACTATTTAAAATGAAAAAAGTGAAATCTAGTGACATCTCAGTGTCACGGGGTGTGGTGCAGGGGTGCAGGAGTGCAGGACGAAGGAGCGGGAGGAATCCAGATTAACATCAAACACGGGTTTATTTTAAACGTACAGGCAGGAAGGCAGGTAAACAGGAGCACACATCGGGTAACATAAACATCGACTGACAAAGACAGACTGAATAAGATGGAACTAAATAGACAGAGGAATCAAACTAAATGGAGTGCAAACAGGTGAAAATGATGACGAGCAGACGAGGAACAGGTGGCTGATGAGGGAGTGAGCTCAGGAGAGGAAACAAAAGGATCCGGGGAAGCGTGGTGCAGATGACGAGACAAACAGGTGAAGACGAAGACTGTGACATCACTCCCCCCTCCCGGTAGGCGTGACCTCACGCCGTAACATCAGCGGGGAGGGGGGGTGGGCGCCCTGGAGGCCGTGGAGGACGTGGTCAGGCGCAGGAAGCCCCCCAGGGCGGAGCAGGATGAGGGCGTGGCCAGGGCGGAGCAGGATGAGGGCGTGGCCAGGATGGAGCAGGATGAGGGCGTGGCCAGGGCGGAGCGGATGAGGGCGTGGCCAGGGCGGAGCAGGATGAGGGCGTGGCCAGGGCGGAGCAGGATGCGAGGACCCTTCGGGTGGCCACGGCGGAGAGAGCCCTTCAGGAGGCCGTGGCGGTGAGAGCCCTTCGGGAGGCCACGGCGGTGAGAGCCCTTCGGGCGGCCACGGCGGTGAGAGCCCTTCAGGCGGCCGTGGCGGTGAGAGCCCTTCAGGCGGCCGTGGCGGTGAGAGCCCTTCGGGAGGCCACGGCGGTGAGAGCCCTTCGGGCGGCCACGGCGGTGAGAGCCCTTCGGGAGGCCACGGCGGTGAGAGCCCTTCGGGCGGCCACGGCGGTGAGAGCCCTTCAGGCGGCCGTGGCTGGGACACTGGGCCCCCCCCCAAAAAATATTTGGGTTGAGGCCCCGGGTGAAGGGCAGATGGGGTCTGGACGGTCTCTGGCCGGACGGTCTGGCCGGTCTCTGGCTGGACGGGCTGGACGGTCTCTGGCTGGACGGGCTGGACGGTCTCTGGCTGGACGGTCTGGACGGTCTCTGGCTGGACGGTCTGGACGGTCTCTGGGGCTGGTCTGGTCGAGCCCCGCGAGGAAGAGAGCTCGGGCTCGGAGAGACTGGACGGGACCAGCAGTGAAGAGCATACAGTCTCCGGAGGGCTGGACGGAACCAGCAATGAAGAGCATACAGTCTCTGGATGGCTGGACGGAACCAGCAGTGAAGAGCTTACAGTCTCTGGTGGGCTGGACGGAACCAGCAGTGAAGAGCTTACAGTCTCTGGTGGGCTGGACGGAACCAGCAGTGAAGAGCACTCAGTCTCTGGAGGGCTGGACGGAACCAGCAGCGAAGAGCATACAGTCTCTGGAGAGCTGGACGGAACCAGCAGCGAAGAGCATACAGTCTCTGGAGGGCTGGACGGAACCAGCAGTGAAGAGCTTACAGTCCCTGGTGGGCTGGACGGAACCAGCAGTGAAGAGCATACAGTCTCTGGAGGGCTGGACGGAACCAGCAGTG